TGGCTTGATGATAGCCATTCTGACCACTGTGAGGTGATATGTCCCAGTGATTTTGATTTCTCTTTCTCTAATGATTAGTGATGTTCAGCATTTTTCCATGTGCCTATTAACTCATACTGGAAGTAATCTTTCTGATCTGGTTCTTTAAGTTAAGTTGAAAAACTTTCAAGCTCTTATACTCATCCATAACATGTCCCTTTTTCGTGTTGAATAGTATTCTCTCGGATGGATGCACCATTTGTATATTGGTTTATCCTTTGAATAACATTTGAGTTATGGCCAGTTTGGGGCTATTATTTTTAGAGCCACAGTAAACATTGGCATGAAGCGTTTTATGTGAAGAGAAATTCATGTTTTACTTGGGAGTTATTTAGGAATGGGATTACACAGTTTTCCAGTGTGCAGATATTTCTGAGCAATGAAAAACATTCCCCAAAGTGTCTTTATCGTTTTGCATTCTGATGAGTCATTGAGGAGAGTTTCAGTTTCTCTCTTTTCCTGAGAGTTGTTTATGTTCCCAGTTATTTTATTTCTTTTATCCAAGATACAATCTGCATACTTAATATGCATTCACTACTAATTACTAATTATTTTAATAAATTTTAGGTGTTTATGAGTCACCTGTAGAACGTAAGTCCTATCTTATGTCAACCAATTGCTATTCAAATATTTTCCCACATTTAATCGGATTACTTGTTCTCTTATTAGTGAGTTTCAGAGCTCTTCATTATTATGGTTATAATATATTTTGTATGATTGTTGATGTGTATATGTGTGTGTTTGTGTGTATATGTAAAATATATGTGTATTTGCATTACCAGCTCAAGAGAGAAAACTATTCTGTAACCTGAAAGGAATTCCCTAATACCACAGTGTTATATTCTTTGTCCATAATCCCTTATGACTACTGATTTCTTTTCCATGTCTCTAATTTTGTCATTTTGAGAATAATATGTACGTGGAATCATAAAGTACATGTCGTTTTCAGATTGGCCTCTGTTTTACTTTGGCATGCACTTGAGATTCATCCAAGTTGTTACGTGTATGAATATTTTCTTCCATTTTTCTGATGAGAAATGTTACTGGTATGGTTAACTGTGTTACTGGTATGGTGTTATGGTTATGTAACTATGGTTAAACCACAGTTGAACCATTCACTCATTGAAGGACCTCTAGCCTGTCTACTTTTTTAGCTATTACAAGCAAAGTTTCAATGAAAATTCATGTGAAAGCTTTTATTTTCATTTATCTAAAAGAAATATGCAGGAATAGAATTTCTGGGTCAAATTATTCTTGCAGGTTTAGAGCATGCTGTATAATAAAGTGTCAAGCTGTTTTTCAGGATAGCTGCACCATTTTATACTCTCATAAGAAATGTAATAATAATCCATTTTCTCTGCATCCTTGCCACCTTATTGTGTGGTCACGTTTTAACAATGTGTGGCCACTTTGACAGATAGAGAGCGGTTAGAGCTCTTTATAGTTTTATTTTGCATTTCTGTCATAGCCAATATGCTCAGCATCTTTTCCTATGCTTCTTTTCCATTGCTGTGACCTCGTTGGCGAAGTTTTTGTTCAAGTCTTTCAATTATCTTGATCATTTTCTATTGAGTGTCTCTTTTCACCTGATGACTTTCAGATTTTTCAATAAGTGTTTTTCATTCCCAATTAGTTTCCATGCAATTATATTTGTTGGAGTTTTGCACATGTAAAATTATTAATGTTATGTTTGTGCATTCAGACACAATGCATTTAGCATAAATTTGAGGAACATGAGTTTCTGCATGGCTTTCTTCTAGAACTATATGATATTTTTACTTTTCCTATGTATGTTTTGTTTTCCATATATATGCCAATATATACATTTCTAAGTTTCTCTGTGCAAGTCAGGATAGCATACACAGGTCATATCCTATACATAGGACACATCTATAGAAAATATTCTACTTATTTTGCTCTTTGAGAAGGACCCTATCTCTGAAAAATAATGTTAATAAAGAAATTCAGGGAAGTCAAGTATTGATTTACAGAATAGACAGGGTTTCTTGGTAAGACAGCCAGTCCTGGTATGGTTGCAAATCTGAATGTAAGCATTTTATAAATCTAAAGATTTTTTGTTAAATTAATGTTTAGGTATGGAGCTTCTATAAATAGGAAAGCATTATCACATATTAAATTCCTATATTAAGAGCTGTGGAGAAATGTTCAATCAGAAAATCATGGAATATACTGACGATATTGGTGTAATTGTAGGTTGGACCAGACATTCATCCATATTGTAGAGAACTGCAGTGTTTAAAAGTTTGGGGATGAGATTATGGAAAGGATCCATATCATTCTTAGTATTGATCTACAGAGAAAAATAAATTTTTCGTCAGTATTTGTATCAGTATAATTATAAAAATTTGCAGTCTGCAAAAAAAAAAAGTTCATGTCTACATTATATATCACAAACTAGAAATCTGTCTTCCATTTTAGCCATGCTAGCTCATCGGAAATGCATAGTCTTTTAATGACAAATAGAATTGAGGACCAGTAAGAAGAGAAAATATTTCATCCTTTGACTTGCTCCATCATGACTGAGGACAAATTCTGAAAGTTCTATAGAGATCACAGAAGTAGAACAAATAATTACATAATTTGTATGGAAATACAAAAAACTTTGGTTAGCCAAAGCAATGCTGTGAAAGAAGAATGGAATTGGAGGAAACAAGCTGCCTGACTCCAGGCTATACTACAAAGCTACAGTCATCAAGACAATATAGTACCAGCACAAAGACAGAAATACAGGTCAATGGAACAAAATGGAAAACCCAGAGATAAATCCACCTACCTATGGACACCTTGTCTTTGACAAAGTAGGCAAGAGTATACAATGGAGAAAAGACAATTTCTTTAACAAGTGGTACTTGGAAAACTGGCCAGCTACTTGGAACGAATGAGACTAGAACACTTTCTAACCCCATGTACAAGAATAAACTCAAAACGCATTAAATATCTAAATGTAAGACCAGAAACTATAAAACTCCTAGAGGAAAGCATAGGCAAAACACTCTTTGACATAAATCGCAGCAGGGTCCTCTATGACCCACCTCCCAGAGGAATGGAAATAAAAGCAAACAATAAATGAATAGGACCTAATTTCACTTAAAAGCTTTTGCACAACAAAGAAAGTATAAGCAAGATGAAAAGACAGACTTCAGAATGGGAGAAAATCATAGCAAATGAAGCAATGGACAATGAATTAATCTCAAAAATATGCAAGCAGCTCCTGAAGCTCAATTCCAGAAAAATAAATGATCCATTCAAAAAACGGGCCAAAGAACTAAACCGACAGTTCTCCAAAGAAGACATCCAGATGGCTAACAAACACATGAAAAGATGCTCAACATCACTCATTATCAGAGAAATGCAAATCAAATCCACGATGAGGGACCATCTCACGTTGGTCAGAACGGCTCCTATCAAAAAGTCTACAAAGAATAAATGCTGGAGAGGAACAGTGTGGAGATTCCTCAGAAATTGGCAATGGAACTTCCCTACGACCCAGGAATCCCATTGCTAGGCATACACACTAAGGGAACCAGAATTGAAAGAGATGCGTGTACCCCAATATTATTCACAGTACTGTTTAAAGTAGCCAGGACATGGAAGCAACCTAGATGTCCATGGGCAGACGAATGGATACGCAGCCATGCTACATATGCACAGTGGAATATTACTCAGCTATTAAAGAGAATGCATTTGCATCAGTTCTAATGAGGTGGATGAAGCTGGAGCCTATTTTAGAGGGCAGGAAGTTAGAAAGAAAAACACCAATCCAGTATATTAATGTATATAAATGGAATTTAGAAAAATGGTAACAATGACCCTATATGTCAGACAGCAAGAGAGACACAAAGGTAAAAACAGACACTTGGACTCTGTGAGAGAAGGCGAGCGTGGGATGATTTGAGCAAGTAGCATTGAAACTTGTATATGAAACAGATTTCCACTAGAGCTTGGATGCATGAGGCAGGGTGCTGTGGGCTTTTGTGGTGGGAGGATCCTGAGGGATGAGATGGGGAGGGAGGTGGGAAGGGGGTTCAGGATGGGGAACACATGTGCATCCATGGCTAACTCATGACAATATATGGCAAAACCACTATAATATTGTAAAGTATTTAGCCTCCAAATGAAATAAATCAATTAAAATGAAAGAACTTAAAAAAGCAGAAAGACAGGCAGCACACCCAGGGGGTCTTTCACTCATAGATTTTAAATCACATTCAGTGACTGACTTTGAATCATCAGTGGGGTCACCCAGGCATTAGAGTGCCAGAACATGTGAATTAGGCAGCTGCAGTCCAGATCAAAGATAACATGTCTTTGAGTTAAAACTTGAACTCAACTCTTTGGATTCTGATGGTGAAACTCTGTGTTTTGGTTGCTTCTAAAAAGTTTTCTGAAGACACACAGGATCCTCATCATCAGAACCTCTGCCTTGTATATCTCCACATTTGTTTAACTTCTCCTTGAAATTTTTAAAACATTTCAAACTGAAAGTTAACACCAAATTTAATACTGCATTCTCTTTCTTTTAAACCATGATAAACTTGTAGAAGTTGGACTAACAAAAGACTTTATTTATCCATCATCAGTGCAGACTCCTAACCCACTCCACACCTCTACTCTCTGGCTAACTGGGGAGCCGAGAGTCCGTTCCCCAACCTCTCAGGACCACATATCCCTCGCGTTTCCAGTGCCCACCTCTTCTCTTCTTTCCCTCCATTCCATCAGAAAATCCACACACACACAAATATCATCTTTGCACCATTTGAGATTTCTTTTATTTGCAGCCATCGGCGTACTATGTTAGTGTGAGAGTCTTTCCTTGGTTGGCCATTGCTAACAAAGCAGACCCCTGGAGACACAATTCTAAACTCTCTGCCCTTTGCTATTCAGTAACTGGCTGCCAATGTTGTACTTCTCCAGGGTCTCTAATTTTGGGGCGGCTGAGCTTATTTTCTCTTTGGATTCTGCCTCCTTCCATGACTTTCCCTCATATTTTGGTACCTTTTTCGGCTTCGATTTGATTTCTTACGTCCACAGCCAGAGAAGAAACGGTTTGATTTTCTTGTTTTCTTTGGCTTCGTCGATTGAGTGGCATACAATCGGATTTTTTTTCTGAATGTAGCTTGTAGAGGTCTTCTGATCCTCATGGACATATTTCGTGCCTGAAAGAGAAGACAAGGGCATTAGTTTGGAGGAAAGGACATAAAAACTGAGGTGGAAAGGAGATTTCATGAGAAAGAAATGTGAGCTAATGGGGGCTTTTATGCCAGGCATGGGCAGGGTAGAGGTCTTGGGCAGTAAAGTCAATGCAGAACATGGGAAGCTTAGTTGGAGTCATCTTACCTTCACACCACGTCTGCCCCTCCTTTGACAAACGGTCTTCTTCGTTCCATTCTTCCTTGAAGCAAACCGCATTGCAAATCTTCTTGACGGCCGTGGCTTCCTGCTTGCCTTGGTCACGATGGTGTCAAGAAGTGGCCTAACAAAGTCTTTCAGCCTCTGACCTCCCTATTGATAGCCTTTGAGGACAATGAGGAGCCACACCCTTCAATCTGATTGGTCCGTTAGCTACTGCCCCAGCCAATAGTAGCTTGCGGGGCTTAGACATCACCATGCACCCCTGTGTCCATTAACATGGGCTAGTGGATTCTGAGGGAGGCCGTGACATAACTTTCCCACTGCTGACATATCTGTGTGTCTGATTCTGGGGAGTGGTGATTCAGGGGCATGATGCTTCTCTTCATGACCTTCAAACTTCCTTTGCCTTCCCTTTATCCTTTGACTTATATGTGCCACTTCAACCCTCATGCCTCTTTCATCCCTCTAGGAACATCTGCCAAACCTTTTCTGTCCCACTTCATCCCTTCAGAGTCCTCTAAGCACTTCATCTCTAGATCACCTTCTGCCTGTTGGGGATTCCTGAGGGGCTAAAGGAACTTAAGAGAAAGCACTTAAAGTGGACAAAGGTAATGAAGAGCAGGTTGGATGTTCTATCTACTGTGGTGAGCTTCACCGACCCGCAGACTTGGTGAATCCTCAGTCTGTTGCCCAAAGTTCAATACACAGTCTCCATAAGATGACACATCAGGGCAAAGAGAGTTTTAAAAGTCTCCTCCACTAAATTTTTTGGGGACACTTCAACTCTCATATTGAGTAGGGAAACTCAACTTGCCCCATCTAGCCGAAAAATATTCCTGATTTTTTCTTTTTACAAAAGGAAGGTGCTCAAATTCAAGAGGCAGTTCACCCCTGCACCACTGACTCTTGACTGAATCAATTCCCCAGTCACCCCTCCTTGACCGTTCTCAGTAGGTAGGGCCCATTGCAATGCTGACAAATAGCTGAGCAGGGCAAGTAGCTGTAGGTAGCTCATTGATAGTGGATTGCTTGTGGGTGGGGCCAGTGAGGCACTGACGAATGGCTGAGCAAGTCCTGTTGCCTAGTAACAGGAGGCAGAGTAATAAGGCCCAGCAATGGGTACCTGCGCAGGGCTCTGCCCATGTTGCTCTGTTACATAAGACACTTTGGGTCCAGTGTGCCGGCAGCTTTTTGACTGACTCCTTTCCAACCTCAGATTTTTATTTCACATGCTTATTTAACTTTTGCCTATCATTCTTTCTATTATCTTCCCAGGCACTCCTGTCACCAGCGCTTATCACTATGCCCCTCCAGCAGCTGCCACTTGATCACATGTTCAGCATATAGTATACATAGTTCAAAGCCAACAAGAATGTGCAGGCCAGCCCACGTTGAAAACTACTTTGAGAAACCTCAACTTCACAGTGATTCTTTTTCTATTTACAGTGTAACAGAGCAGGATGAGCACAGACCTGAACAGGTAGCCACTGGTGTGCTCCATTTCAACCCACCCTGTTCCTAGGCAACAGGTGTTGCTCAACCATTGCTTGGTGCCTCAGAGGGCCCCATCCCCAAGCAAACAGTTGTAAATGAGTGACTGTTAGCTGTCCTGCTTAGCTATTGGGCAGCACTGCAATGGGCAATGCCCACAGGTCACTGTCAGTGAGGGACCACTGGGGAAGCAATGAAGTCAAGGGTGGTGTGGTGGCACTCAGGGGGAGACTGAGGCAAGAGGCAGATTCAGGCCTTCTTCCGGAGGCCCTGGAGCTCATGCAGACTTGGGCCAGTGGGTGAGCTGGAGGGCCCAGGGAATAGCCTGGGGACTACATGCTTCAGCGCTCTTTCGTCCATCTTTGCTGTCTGCCTTAAGGGTGGTGTGGCCTGCATATCTGAGGTTATTGATAATTCTCCCAGCAATCTTCCAGCTTGTGCTTCATCCAGTCTTGCATTTCTCATGACATACTCTGCATGTAAGTTCAATAAGCAGGATGACAATATACAACCTTAACATACACCTCTCCTAGTTTGGAACCAGTCTGATGTTTCATGTCCGGTTTTCACTCATGCTGCTTTCCCTGCATTCCGAGTTCTCAGGAGGCAGGTAAGAGGGCCTGGGATTCCCATCTCTTGAAGGATTTCCCACAATTTGTTCTGCTCCACACAGGACAATGCTTGAGCCTAGTCAGTGAAGCAGATGTTTCTATGGAATTGTCTTGCTTTTTCTATGATCCAACAGATGCTGTCCATTGTATCTCTTGTTCCTCTGCCTTTTCTTAGTCAAGCTTGAACATCTGGAAATTCTTGGTTCATGTATTGTTGAAGCCTAGCTTGGAGAATGCACAACATTTTTTAGGTAGTGTGGGAGAGGACCCTATCCCCATAGTCATTTCAAATCAAGCTCTTTCTTACATTAGTCTGGATTTGTTTTATTTAATTGCAAAAATGGACATCAATTCTTTAGTGTCATGCTTATTTCCCGCTTCACAGGTATTAATTCACCCCCTGTGTTATTTCAGGCATCGTTGTGAGTGCAAGGCCCATATCAGGAGCCAATACCCAGAACCCTGGTTTCATGGGGCTGGCATTCTGTTCAGTGAGGATGGAAGGTTCATACTAACCATAAATAGCCAATTATACTGTATAGGGAGAACCTTATGAGTTATGAGATACGGGAAGTTTTTCCTCCCCAGAGGATAATGATGGAAGGCCTTATGAATGCAGGACTTTTGAGCAAAGACTTAATTAAAGAAAAGAGCGAGTGACTTTGTGGCTATCTTGGGCAATAAAGACTGGTGAGAGGAAAAGGCCAGGGCAAAAGCCCCCAAAAGGCATTGTCTGTGTCCTTCCAATTAAACAAGGAGGCGGGTGCAATTGGAACCAGGTGCGTGAGGATGAGACTAAAAAAGTGAGGAGCTTCTGATGAGAGAGAACAGGGCAGGAAAAGGAGGAATGTAACAGTAAACATCTTTCCATTTACATGATGATTTGATTAACCATACAAAATCCACACTGGGCTGTGGTGGTAAAAGGGAGAGGCATTTGTCAGAGTCTAATGGCAAGGAGGTGGGAGAGGAGTACTTTTCAGTAAAGACACCCAAGATGAATCCTGAGCCACCTAAAGTAGATAGATCACCAAGTGGAAAGCTGTGAATGTGTTTCCCAGACAGTGAGTGAGAATGTGCAAAGGCACTGAGACCCACGAAAGTTGGTTATACATGCCTTGCTTATGACTGGAATCTAAGGTATGGTGGGGAAATTGTGAAGAAACATGGCCTTGGAGGAAGAGGGAGGAACTTGAAGGGACACCTGGTCATATGTTAACTTAATGTCTGGGTGACCCTGCTTCAAAAGAGCATTATTAATATTTTCTAATTGTAAATATACACTCGAATCAAAGCAGTATGGAAATTGCAAAAAGGAGGACAAAAATGAATTCAGAGGACACCCATAAGTGTGTCAATAAACATATATAGTCTTCATATTCTGCCTTTGTTTTTCTAGCTAAATGTTTATAACATATATATTATATGTGTTATATTCTGCAAAATATATACATATAATACACATATTTATGGTTGAGCCTATGTACATCAGTGAGTTTTTTTTTTTAATTTATACAAATTGAATCAATCTACATGCTATATTGTAACCTTCCTTTTCTATACCATATGCTGGGAGAATGTTTCCACCTCAACAAACATGTAACTACCAGTATTCCTGAGAATTACTTGGTGTTCCAATGCTTGCTTATCCCATACTCCATGCAAGTGCTATGAAGGCAGGAACCACGTGCATCTTGCTCACTCGTTCCTTCCATATCTTTTCTATTGTAAGGAAGACTGTAAGAAACGTTGTGGTACATGTATCTTTTCAAATTAGTGTTCACTTTCTTCTGATGTATAGCTATTCGTGGAATAGCTGGGTCACATGGGAGATCTATTTTTAGTGTTTTTAGGAAACTTCCACATTGTTTTCCAAGGTGAGTGCACAAATATACATTCCCACCAAATATGTTCAATGGCTCCCTTTTGTCCATATCCTTGCCGCCATATGTTATTTTAAGATTTTTGGCTTGATGATAGCCATTCTGACCACTGTGAGGTGATATCTCATAGTGATTTTGATTTCTCTTTCTCTAATGATTAGTGATGTTCAGCATTTTTCCATGTGCCTATTAACTCATACTGGAAGTAATCTTTCTGGTCTGGTTCTTTAAGTTAAGTTGAAAAACTTTCAAGCTCTTATACTCATCCATAACATGTCCCTTTTTCTTGTTGAATAGTATTGTCTCGGATGGATGCACCATTTGTATACTGGTTTATCCTTTGAAAAACATTTGAGTTATGGCCAGTTTGGGACTATTATTTTTAGAGCTACAGTAAACATTGGCATGAAGCGTTTTATGTGAAGAAAAATTCATGTTTTACTTGGGAGTTATTTAAGAATCGGATTACACAGTTTTCCAGTGTGCAGATATTTCTGAGCAATGAAAAACATTCCCCAAAGTGTCTTTATCATTTTGCATTCTGATGAGTCATTGAGGAGAGTTTCAGTTTCTCTCTTTTCCTGAGAGTTGTTTATGTTCCCAGTTATTTTATTTCTTTTATCCAAGATACAATCTGCATACTTAATATGCATTCAGTACTAATTACTAATTATTTTAATTAATTTTAGGTGTTTATGAGTCACCTGTAGAACGTAAGTCCTATCTTATGTCAACCAATTGCTATTCAAATATTTTCCCACATTTAATCGGATTACTTGTTCTCTTATTAGTGAGTTTCAGAGCTCTTCATTATTATGG